TGCTGCATACACCACATTGTCCCATGATACAGACACCAATCTGGAATGTAACATTTTGAAGGAGACACCACAGAGCGTATGTTCTATTCCACCAGTTCAGCTCTCCTATCACCACACCCCCAATGATAGCCTGTGGTTCCACCATGTACCTGCATAAATCCTTCTGCATCCATGACTTAGGGTTCTTTCTCAACTCCTTCCATGCCCATGGCTAGGTCCCTAGGGCCTCCACCACGTGGATTCAGTCTCTTTAGCTGGGGCACTGACCACTAGGGAGGGGAACAGCGAGCTGCCCCCCTTGCTATATGGAGGACCCATCACTTCTGCTGGCACTAGACTCCTGCTGTCTGGCTTCCCTTGCGCTGGTTACCCCTAGCAAATGCATGTCTTCCTCTCCACCCATTGTGTGCCTAACAGGCCCCGTTCCTTGCAATATGCCGTGCACCACCATTGTAGCATGTGCTGGTTGCTGGTCTTGACTCATCCAGATCCCTCAAGGGCAACAAGTCTAAGCTCTGATGAAGGGTCACGTCCATACAACCCCTGAAATGCATTGGCTGTGACAACTAAAATTCAAAATCTGAACTGGTGCCCACACCCAGGTGCTCTTATCTCTTAGCTCTACACCAGCCTTTCTGAACCTTTTAACCCCCAAGGAACCATTGAAGTAATCTGTATATCTCAGGGAACCCTTGGTAAATTTAGCCCATTGGGGTTCATTGTGAAGATGCCCCTTACGCTGGTGTTGATAAGTTTGAAGAATGCTACACTTACAGGGGTAGCAAGAATAACACCCTTGCAGTCATGCCACTGGCTCTGCCGGGGGGCACTGGACCCAGATCTATGCAGGCAGCCTCAGATGGGAGGTCAGGTAGCCATAGCTCAAGGAACCCCTAGCCAACCCTGGAGGAACCATGTTTGAGAATGGCTGCTTTACACAATGCTTCATGTTCATTTCTTACAGGGACTTACAGTGGGTATAAAAAAGAATCACCCCCTTTAAAATAATCATATTTTGTTGTTTTGCAGCCTGAAATGAAGACAGACACCGTTTTTGTTTTATCCAGCTGTATTTACTTAAAAACATCCAAGTGAAAGTTACAACACCGAAGTGTCAGGAAGAAAAAAAACTGTCCGTCTTCATTTCAGGCTGGCAGGATCAACAGGTACTTTTCTTAACAAAAATAGCATTCTATGGTATATTTAACCGTCCAAAATGGAGCAAATAAGAGACGGTCATGAGAGTTCCCATACCCTGTACCTCAGTCCCGGGCACTTTCACCCCCTTCCTGCCCAGGCCCATTTTCAGCTTTCAGCGCTGTCACACTTTGAATATTAACCCCTTGCCCTCCTGAGGATTTCCCCCCTTTCCTGACCAGGCCATTTTTTGCGCTGCATTACTTTAACTGACAATTGCGCGGTCATGCTGCACCCAAATGAAATTTATGTAATTTTTTTCTCCCCACAAATAGAGTTTTCTTTCGGTGGTATTTGATCGTCTGTGTGGTTTTTATTTTTTGCGCTATAAAAAAAAAAAAAAACAATTTTGAAAAAAAAATCACAATATTTTTTACTTTTTGCTATAAAACATGTCCAATAAAAAAATTTAAAAAATGAAATTTCCTCATAAATTTAGGTCAAAATGTATTCTGCTCCGTGTCTTTGCAAAAAAAAAAAATCCTGATACGTGTAAATTAATTGGTTTACGTGAAAGTGATAGCGTTCACAAATGGCGGTATAGATACAGGTTTTTTTTTTTAATTATTACTAGCTATGGCGGTGATCCGCGACTTATAGCAGGACTGCGGCGGGCATTCTGACACTGGGGGGGAACTGACATCCCCAGTGACACCAATACAGTGATCAGTGCTAAAAAAAAGCACTGACACTGTACTAATGGTACTGGGTAGGAAGGGGTTAACATCTGGGGCGATCAAAGGGTTAACTGTGCGCTGGGTGTGTTTTACTATGAGGAGGTGTCTGTGTGCTTCACTGTAAGCACACTGCTTTGGATGGCTGTGCTGTGTGCAGGAGCTGACAGGGAGAACTGTTTTGTTTACTAACAGTTCTCCCCCCACATCGGAGATTATTATTATTATACAGGATTTATATAGCGCCAACAGTTTGCTCAGCACTTTACAATATAAGGGGGGCGGTACAATTAAAATACATTTCAGTACAGAAGGAATAGGAGGGCCCGGCTCGTGGAGTTTACAATCTAAAGTAAGGGGGAGGGGATACAAAAGGTGATAGCTGCGGGGGATGATCCGGCGGAGGTGATTCAAGTACAGTTCTTAGGTGGAGGTGGGGTGGGCTTCCCTGAAGAAGTGAGTTTTCAAAGATCGCCTAAAGGCAGACAGGGTGGGGGCTAATCAGACATATTGTGGTAGGGAGTTCCAGAGGATGGGAGAGGACCTTGGCAATCACCAGGCGTGGGCGAGTAATCACTAGCCGACACCCGGTGATTGACAGCCGTGGCCCCGAATGGCAGAGCCCCCTACCCGAAAATGCAAAATCACGTATATATACGTGATTTTGCGCACCCGTGCCGCCCTGTAGCAGTATATCTGCTATAGGGCGGATGGGAAGAGGTTAATTACACATGCACAGGGGCGGACTGACAACTCATGGGGCCCCCAGGCAATAGGAGATCATGGGGCCCCTGTGTCCTTGCCCAAACTCAAAAAAGCCTATGAAAAAGGTACCAGGGGCATCTCATGGGGCCCCCTACTGACCCCGGGCCCTCGGGCAGTGCCCGAGTTTCCAAATGGTCAGTCCACCCCTGGTCATGCAACACTGTACCCATATGAAATTGTTATCATTTTTTTCAGACAGAGCTTTCTTTTGGTGGTATTTAATCACCACTGGGGATTTTATTTTTTTTACACTATAAACGAAAAAACTATCTATATATAAATGCCTGAGGCTCCACAAAAATAAAACGTAAAAATAATAAAATGGTAAGTTATAATGTCCAGATGGGATATATAACTATGCATATAAATAAAAAAAGTTCTATTGTGCTATTTAAGGAGATACAATCAGGATGGTGACTCAGATACTCCCAGTTATGCGTAAATTCGGTGTCGTGCAGGAAATAATAAAATTGCGCACTCACCAGATGCGCAGTTATCAAAACCAGATGTTCCCTGGGAACCTGGGTCCTGGGACGGATGCAGCTCCGAATGGATAGGCTTTCCCTTAGGAATGGGCAGTAAGATGACGCCTCTAAAGGTCTTCTCAAATGGTGGGCTGCGATAGGGGTCAGCAGTTGGATCACTCTCCTCTGGGCCTTAGGGATGGTCACCAATAGGTGCTGGCAGGGGCGGACTGACAACTCATGGGGCCCCCGGGCAATAGGGGATCATGGGGCCCCTGTGTCCTTGCCAAAACTCAAAAAAGCCTATGAAAAAAGTACCAGGGGCATCTCATGGGGCCCCCTACTGACCCCGGGCCCTCGGGCAGTGCCCGAGTTTCCAAATGGTCAGTCCGCCCCTGGTTCCTGGGGAATTAGATGCTCGGCATGTCTATACTTTTTGAGCCAGAAGAGTGACTGTGTGCCTGGCTGTGGATACACTAGCTTGAGAAAGAACCTTTGGGACCATACCAAGCCCCGTCTGGGGTTAGCGCTACACTCAGGGGTGGACTGACAACTCATGCGGCCCCCGGGCAATAGGGGATCATGGGGCCCCTGTGTGCTCGCCCACACTCAAACCACACCCAAAAAAGCCTATGAAAGGTACCAGGGGCATCTCATGGGGCCCCTTACTGACCCCGGGCCCTCGGGCAGTGCCCGAGGTTACGAATGGTCACTCCGCCCCTGGCTACACTTGTACACCATTATATTGGCCAAATGTTGTGGTCACCCTCATTTTCAACAGCATTATATCACAAAACATAAATAAGTAAATAAATAAATAAAAAAAGATACTTCATAACACATTTGGATTTGAAGTGTCCTGACTGACCATAGTGGGCATAGTAAGATAGAAAATTAAATTGTTACTAAACCCACAACAGTAGCATCACTTTGTATATTTTTTTTGTTTTATGGTTGAACTGGATGGACTTTTATCTTTTTTCAGCCAGACTAATTATGTAACTATATGCAGTAAATCATGCTTGTTATAATAATCACTGTACCTAAGGGGTTAATACTCTGCATTTAGTAAAAATGCTTTTTGATCCTGTCTTCTCTGATCCTCCCCTTCTTCCAGTGTCCCCCTTTTATCTCCAGATAAGACATATTGTGTGGAGTTACTCTGCACATGCTCAGTTTGGTGTGTATTGCTAGAGAGTTGTTTTTTTTTTTGAACAGTGCATGTGATCAGCACAGAGCCAATTAGCAATGTCCAGAAAGAGGTCAGGGGTCCTGTATCCTCCTAGAGCTGAATGAAAACTCCACCTACAAGCTTTGACATGTGATCTGCTGGACGCTGATAGAAGTCACAAGACTGCTACATACTGCTGATGAGAAAAGGAGTTTAGTAGTTTATATTTACTAAAATAATTGGACTTCCATGTTCTGTGTACTGTGGGAGAGCGAATATAGTGAATGCAGGGTCCGGAGAGACTGGATATAGTGAATGCAGGGTCCGGGGAGACCAGATATAGTGAATGCAGGGTCCGGGAGAGAGCGAATATAGTGAATGCAGGGTCCGGGGAGACCAGATATAGTGAATGCAGGGTCCGGGGAGACCAGATATAGTGAATGCAGGGTCCGGGGAGAGCGGATATAGTGAATGCAGGGTCCGGAGAGACCGGATATAGTGAATGCAGGGTCCGGGGAGACCAGATATAGTGAATACAGGGTCCGGGGAGACCGGATATAGTGAATGCGGGGTCCAGGGAGACCGGATATAGTGAATGCGGGGTCCGGGGAGAGCGGATATAGTGAATGCAGGGTCCGGAGAGACTGGATATAGTGAATGCAGGGTCTGGAGAGACCAGATATAGTGAATGCAGGGTCCGGGGAGAGCAGATATAGTGAATGCGGGGTCCGGGGAGAGCGGATATAGTGAATGCGGGGTCCGGGGAGAGCGGATATAGTGAATGCGGGGTCCGGGGAGAGCAGATATAGTGAATGCGGGGTCCATGGAGAGCGGATATAGTGAATGCGGGGTCAGGGGAGACCAGATATAGTGAATGCAGGGTCCGAGGAGACCAGATATAGTGAATACAGGGTCCGGGGAGACCGGATATAGTGAATGCGGGGTCCAGGGAGACCGGATATAGTGAATGCGGGGTCCGGGGAGAGCGGATATAGTGAATGCAGGGTCAGGGGAGAGCGGATATAGTGAATGTAGGGTCAGGGGAGAGCGGATATAGTGAATGCGGGGTCCAGGGAGACCGGATATAGTGAATGCGGGGTCCGGGGAGAGCGGATATAGTGAATGCAGGGTCCGGAGAGACCAGATATAGTGAATGTAGGGTCAGGGGAGAGCGGATATAGTGAATGTAGGGTCCGGGGAGAGCGGATATAGTGAATGCGGGGTCTGGGGAGAGCGGATATAGTGAATGCAGGGTCCACGGAGAGCGGATATAGTGAATCCGGGGTCTGGGGAGACCGGATATAGTGAATGCGAGGGTCCAGGGTGAGCGAATATAGTGAATGCAGGGTCCGGGGAGAGCGGATATAGTGAATGCAGGGTCTGGGGAGAGCAGATATAGTGAATGCAGGGTCCGGGGAGAGCGGATATAGTGAATGCGGGGTCCGGGGAGAGCGGATATAGTGAATGCAGGGTCCGGGGAGAGCGGATATAGTGAATGCAGGGTCTGGGGAGAGCGGATATAGTGAATGCGGGGTCTGGGGAGAATGGATATAGTGAATGCAGGGTCAGGGGAGAGCGGATATAGTGAATGCGGGGTCTGGGGAGAATGGATATAGTGAATGCGGGGTCCGGGGAGAACAGATATAGCGAATGCTGGGTTCTGGGAGACCAGATATAGCGAAAGAGGGTCCTAGGAGACCGGATATAGTGAATTCAGGGGTCGGGGAGAGCGGATATAGTGAATGCAGGGTCTGGGGAGAGCGGATATAGGGAATGCAGGGTCCGGGGAGACCAGATCTAGTGAATGCAGGATCCGGGGAGACCAGATATAGTGAATGCAGGGTCTGGGGAGAGCGGAGCGGAGATAGTGAATGCAGGGTCTGGGGAGAGCGGATATACTGAATGCAGGGTCCGGGAGACCAGATATAGTGAATGCAGGGTCCGGGGAGACCAGATACAGTGAATGCAGGGTCTGGGGAGAGCAGATATAGTGAATGCAGGGTCCAGGAGAATGGATATAGTGAATGCGGGGTCCTGGGAGAGCGGATATAGTGAATGAAGGGTCCGGGGAGACCAGATATAGTGAATGCAGGGTCGGGGAGACCAGATATAGGGAATTCAGGGTCCAGGGAGACCAGATATAGTGAATGCAGGGTCCGGGGAGAGCGGATATACTGAATGCAGGGTCTGGGGAGAGCAGATATAGTGAATGCGGGGTCTGGGGAGAGCGGATATAGTGAATGCAGGGTCCAGGGAGACCAGATATAGTGAATGCAGGGACTGGGGGAGAGCGGATATAGTGAATGCGGGGTCCGGGGAGAGCGGATATAGTGAATGCGGGGTCCGGGGAGACCGGATATAGTGAATGCGGGGTCCGGGGAGAGCCGATATAGTGAATGCAGGGTCCGGGGAGAGCGGATATAGTGAATGCGGGGTCTGGGGAGAGCGGATATACTGAATGCAGGGTCCGGGGGAGAGCGGATATACTGAATGCAGGGTCCGGGGAGCGGATATACTGAATGCAGGGTCCGGGGACAGCGGATATACTGAATGCAGGGATCTGGGTTTAGTAACACTTTAAAGTCAGCCTGAACTACGAAGGCTGCCATCGCTGACCTCTCTTTCTGGTAATGACAATTGCTTAGCTATCATGCTGATCCAATGACTTGTTTCTGAGGCACTGATCTGGAATGAATCAGATCTCTGACTTTCTGCATGCTTGTTACAAGTCAATGGCACAAAAGGTTCTTAGACGGTCATCAAGGCAGCCATAGTTTACCTTATACAGCTTTCCATCACAAAGAATGAGACATAGAAATAAATACTCACTGCTGTTTCTTGTTCAGCTCCTGCTCCTTCTGGACCAGGTCCTGCTTGAGGGACGCCAACATCTCCACACTAACGTCCACCTGCCTGGTGAGCTCCGAGGCCCTGTCCTCCAGTTCTTGCTTTTCCATGCCCAGCCTCACACTCTCCTGCTTGGCCTTTTCTAGCTCCGAACTTTTCCTCTCCAGCTCAACCTGAAGCCTACCAACTTGCGTGGCAATCTTCTGCTCCACCTCTTCCGTCAACTTCTCCAGTCGCTTGTCTACCTCGAGCTTCTCGAATGCCCTCACCTTCAGCCGTGCCAGGCCTTCTTCGTAGGCCGCATCCACAGCAGCAGAAGCCGCTGCAGCAGCCGCCACAGCTGCTGGCGGTGGGGTGTGAGAGGTTGCCATGGTGGTTTTGGTAAATATCTCTCCAAGGGGGATCTCCACCTCCTGGGTGTATCGAGTAGACGTTGGGCTGAATTCCTCAGACTGTACTAAGTCCCGAGTGAACCTCTGCTCCTTTCCTTGGAACGATGTGCTTTCAAAGACGTCCCGGCGGTGGCCTGGGGTCAACAAAGCGGCTTCGCTGGTCAAAGGGAACACGGCAGCATCGCAAATGCTGTTGGTCTTGGACAGAACGTAAAGGGTCTCATAGGTGTGGTTGTATTCCAGGTGGGCCCTCAGCGAGGACAGGCTCCTGAAACGCTTGTGCTCTCCGCACCTCGGACACCGATAAGGCAGGTCCAAAGAGGCCATCCCTCAGCTCCTAATATGGCGACTGTCCTTTAGCCCTGAACAGAGCAGGCAGATGGTAAGGGTCATGGTGTGCCTGGGACTCGGGAGAAGTCAAAGATCGGGGGCAAATACTCTCTTAGAAGGCTTTGGGTCAGCAGAATCATCTTCTGTGGTCAACGGTCAGCCCCTCTATACTGATATTGGAAAAGATATTAAGGCTGGTAAACTTCTGAGGCTGTATCATCCAAACGGTCACCAGGCTGTGGAGGGGAAGAAGAAAAAAAGCCACCATCAGATACAATGTGGACATCTGCATAAGCAGCAACATGCAACAATACCTTTCAATTCTTAGAAAAGTTTTTTTAAGCAGATCTAATCCAAATTACTACAATCTCATAAATTGTATTTAAAATGCTAAAATAATTTCTCAGTCTTTACATGACAACTTCCGTTACAGTGTGACAACTATCTCCTAACTGTGCCCTGTGTTGTCACCCTATCTTGAAGTGGTTGTAAACCCTCACATATACCCACTGAAGTGACCGGCCTCAGGTGATACACAGAGATGAAACAAATCCTCCTACATAAGTTGTACCTGTCTATCTGCAGTCTTCTCTTCTCTACATCCATTCAAAGTCCAGAATTCATAAAGCTTGTCTGAGAGTTCAGAAAAACAGGTGGAGAGCTGAAATTACACACTGCAGAGCTCAATGAGCAGACCTTTAAGAATTGATTGGCCTTCACACAGACAGCTGAGACTGTCAATCTGCTGGAGGTCCTTCCCATGCAGGGGCAGACTGCCCATTCCAGCAGTCGAGCACTGCCCGAGGGCCAGGGGTCAGTAGAGGGCCCCATGAAATGCCCCTGGTACCTTTTATAGGCTTTTTTGGGTGTGCTATGAGTGCGGGCATGGACACAGGGGCCCCATGATCCCCTATTGCCCGGGGGCCCCATGAGTTGTCAGCCTGCCCCTGCTCCCATGTCACCATTTTTCTCTTGGTGTCAGGAAAACGCATCAGAAATGATTCATGCTGATAAAGGAGCTCAATGAGGAGACTGTTAAGAATTGATTGGCCTTCACACAGAGAGCTGAGACTGTCAGTCTGCTGGAGGTCCCTGCCATGTCACCATTTTTCTCTTGGTGTCAGGAAAATTCATCAGAAATGATTCATGCTGATAAAGGAGCTCAATGAGGAGACTGTTAAGAATTGATTGGCCTTCACATAGAGAGCTGAGACTGTCAGTCTGCTGGAGGTCCCTGCCATGTCACCATTTTTCTCTTGGTGTCAGGAAAATTCATCAGAAATGATTCATGCTGAAAGGAGCTCAATGAGGAGACTGTTAAGAATTGATTGGCCTTCACATAGAGAGCTGAGACTGTCAGTCTGCTGGAGGTCCCTGCCATGTCACCATTTTTCTCTTGGTGTCAGGAAAACTCATCAGAAATTATTTATGCTGATCAGGGGCGGACTGAAAACTCATGGAGCCCCCGGGCAATAGGGGATCATGGGGCCCCTGTGTCCTTGCCAAAACTCAAAAAAGCCTATGAAAAAGGTACCAGGGGCATCTTATGGGGCCCCCTACTGACCCCGGGCCCTCGGGCAGTGCCCGAGTTTCCAAATGGTCAGTCCGCCCCTGATGCTGATAAAAAGAACTCAATGAGGTGACCTTTAAGAATTGATTGGCCTTCACACAGAGAGCTGACACTGACAATCTGCTGAAGGTCCCTCCCATGTCACCATTTTTCTCTTGGTGTCAGGAAAACTCATCAGAAATGATTCATGCTGATAAAAGAGGAATGAGGCAGCAGAGAGAAATGACACTTAGTGCTCTGAATTGGGACACGTGCATAATATAGAGGGATATGTTTTGTTCATATTTCATGTCTAAGGTTTACAACCACTTTAAGCTCCACCCTATACCATTAAAAGACAACTCTGATTTTTTTCAAAATGTAGTTAACTTTAAGAAGATCCACACAAGGCATCATGTACTGTAACTTAAAGCATACAGTGCCTTGAAAAAGTATTCATACCCCTTAAAATTTTCAACATTTTGTCATGTTACAACCAAAAATGTAAATGTATTTTATTGGGATTGGATGTGATAGACCAACACAAAGTGGCACATAATTGTGAAGTGGAAGGAAAATGAGAAATGATTTTCAACGTTTTTTAAAAATAAATATCTGAAAAGTGTGGTGTGCATTTGTATTCAGCCCCCTTTACTCTGACACCCCTAACTAAAATCTAATGGAACCAATTGCCTTCAGACGTCACCTAAATAGTAAACAGAGTCCACCTGAATGCATGGCTGAAGACCTGGTGTAAGAGGGAAGGATTTGGGTTTCTAGAGCGCTGGGCTGAGTTTTCTTTGGGGTGCAACCTATATGCTAGAGATGGTCGGCACCTAAATGGAAGGGGGTCTGCTGTGCTGGGGGAGGGGTTTATGGGAAGGCTGGAGGAGTATATAAACTAGGATCAAGGGGGGAGGGAGAATGAGATGATAATGGGGTAGACAGATCAGACAGGGGTCAGTACTTATTGGTGGGTGGAATGGGGAAAGATAGAGGGAGGGTTATGGCAGATGATAAGAAGGTTCCCATGTTACAAACAACCAGTGGAATTGGTACCATTTGTATGAAAATAAAAAATATGCAAAATACATGAGAACAAGGTGTCAGTGAAAGAAAGTTTTTGTTCACCAATGCCAGAAGTCTGACAAGCAAACTAGGTGAGTTGGAAGGTTTGGTGCATGAAGAGAACTAGGATTTCATTGGTATTGCTGAATCTTGGCTTCATTCCTCACATGACTGGGCCATTCATATTCCTGGCTATGTTCTCTTTTGGAGAGACGGGGGAAATAGGAAAGGTGGTGGTGTCTGTCTCTATGTGAGAAGTGATCTCATAGCGAGTGGGAAAGAGGACCTAGTTGATGGAGAGTG